CCCTAGCAAATTGTACAGTGTTGCTATAGTTCATATAATGTCTGCACTGCTGTACCCTGTTATAGCCACCATGAACAGATGCTCAGGAAATTATTCAGTAGCATACAGCTGATCTTGCCATCTCATAGAAGGTTTCGAAATAGTGCTTATATTTCTTTTTCATACAATTACAGAAAACTATTTCATGTTTGTTCATGCTTGCTGAGAATAAAGAGGGCAATGAATCTGGATTACAGAGGAACCTGAGTACAGCTCACAGCAACAGTACCTTTTAAATGAAATATCTTATCGTTTGACTGAAATTACATTATTGCAGCATTTCAAAGGCTTGAATGAACAATTATAGAAGTATTATTGTTGTAGCACCACAGATGGACAAGTTCTTTCAGAAGAGTAAAACCAAAACAAAACAACAGATAAATGTGCCTGGGAACCTTGTCCTGAAAGTATTGCATACACTTTCACATATCTCACAAAATCTCTGTATTTTATGCTTGAAGTGGGTCCAGAAGATCCCCTTACATATGACAATAAGTTTGAGCAGACAAGTGAGAAAAAATTTAGCAGTAAACATAGTCACCTGCAGTCAACAAAAATTACAAAATGTAGTATAAAAGTCTGTCCAGATAAATGTTATTAACCTACTTCACTGACACTAAATTTTGTGACACCTCTCATCTGTCCTCATGGACCTGTGACCACTGATTATTTTTGAATCATGGAAATGCCACCCTTTTTATACCAATTATCTTTGACCGATGGTGTTTATTATTAACCATTCGCCATGTCTTTCTGCTCTCCTGTCGAGCTTTGGTTGCTCAGTTAAACAACAGAAACACAATTATGGAACTTGGATGACCAGTCACACAAGAATATTAGTAAATAGAGGCAAACAATGGTAATATTTCACATACAATGGGCTGAAATCTATTCACAGAAACTGGGTGGATTTCTTCTTAAAAAACTAGCAGCACAGTCAGCCCCATTTTATTTTTCTTAGTCTTATTATACCTGTCTGAAAGCTAGCACATCCTGAGACAGTGAAGAGTGAATATGAAACGTGAAGGTTGCCAACAGCAGTGAGATCAAAG